TGCTTTGTTTCTTTGTTTCTTTGTTTGTTCGTTTTTTGGTACGGGGATCGAACTCAGGACCTTGCGCTTGTGAGGCAGGCGGTGGCACCACTGAGCTAAATCCCGGGCCCTTGCTCTGTTTTTGTTTTTCTGTGTTTGAGACAGGATCTTGCTATGGGTTCCAAGGTGGTTATGAACTTGCCATGTAGCCCAGGCTTGCCTTGAACTCACAGTGATCCTCCTGCCTCAGCCTTCCAACTGCTGAGAGACCGGAATTCTTGTCTACCCAGTTCCCTGATGAGACCCCAGGGTATGGCCCAGCACTTGGCACACAGTAGATGATGAATAAATGTTTATGAAATGATGACAAGAATCTGGGTACTTCTGGCTGCAGCCTGGGAGGTTGGGCTTGTGTGATGTCTTAGTTACTTTTCTCAATGCTGAGGCAAAATACTCAACACCCACAACTTAAGGGAGGAAAGGTTTATCTAGCTCACAGTTTATCTAGCTCACAGTCCATAATTGGCTGGCTCCAAGACAAGGTGGCATGGCAGCGGAGAAACAGTCCATGGCATGGCAGACAGGCATTGCAGAAGAGAAACAGATCATGGCAAGCAGAAGGTAGCAAAGCAAGGAAGGGACAAAACAAGCCTCTTTCTGTCCCTTATATTGTATCCAGGCTACTGGGATTAGGGTGGAACCAAACCAATCAGTGAACTGATTTAGTAATCACTCACCCTTAATCCTAGCACCCTTAATCCTAGCATTGCACCATGAATCCATCACACACTCTAGATCCAGCCACCCCTGAAATACCCCCACCTATGACTGCAGAGTCTTTCGGGGGAAATCTAGGCACAAGCCATAACAGATGATATGGAGCTAGGGGTGGGGTGCAGGTTCTGGGCCAATTCAAGCTCTGAACTTAGTAGTTTAAGAACTCAGGCCACTCTGTACCAGTTTCCCCAATTTCAAGAAGGACCCAGCACTCTGTGTGTCTCAGCTATGGCTTCCTGGAGATGTAGCTGGAGGCTGAAGGAGTTGGGAGCGAGATTTATTTCATCTGAGGCCCCTGGAAACTCAGTCACTGTGGCAGATTTTTCAGGACTTTCCCATATATTCTTAGGATTTTCAAAGCCAGCATAGTGACACACATCTATAATCTGAGTACTCAAGAGGCTGAGGCAGGAGGGTCAAAAGTTGGAGCCCAGCCTGGGCAATTATGGAGATGCTGTCTCAAAACAACAACAGAAATGGGCTGGGGATTTAGCTCAGTGGTTTTGCTCCCTGCTGCACAAGCACAAGGACCTGAGTTCAATCCCTGGTACCAAAACAACAACAACAACAGAAAAAGCCTAAAAAGGGCTGGGCCCCCAGCCCAGCTTCCTCATCCTGGAGAACTTGGGCAGATGCAAGCCCAGCTTTCTGGGCTCCTCAGCCTGTCACCAGGCAGCCAGGTGCAGGACTGGTGATTTGGTTGACAGAGGATCCTGCCTGTCCAAAGCCACCTAGCAGGACAGCAGCAGAGCCCAGACCCCCCACAGCCTGCAGACTCCAGGGTCTACAGTTTGCCACTACCCTGTGGCTCCTATGAGACCAGGGAAGGCATGTGGGCCACATTCCAGTGATGTCCCCTTGCCCCACCCCACCCCCCGCTGTCACTCTGCCACCTCTCAGGTGCCCCCTTCTCAGAATTCCATGCCCAGAATTTGCCTCCCTGGCTCCCCTCACCCTCTCTGACCACCCCGCCAAGTGCCTCCTTCTCACCCAAGCATATCACTCGGGGACCAGGCCTGTCCCCACAAAACACACCACCCCCGCCCTTGGAGACCTGTGCCTGCACCCAGTGCCTGTTCCCAGGCTTCTGTTTGTACTGCGTGCCCCACCATTAGCCTTCCTACTTCACTAAGTAGCCCAGGCTGGCTTCAAACTTGCAGTCTAATCCTCCTGCCTCAGCCTGCCAAAGGTACCGGTATCACAGGCATGCACCACCAGGCCCAGCTCCCTACCTTTTTTACTTGGCAACCACATTCTTCCCCCTGTCACCAATGGGGTGACCAGGAGGGACAACTCTTCCCTGGAAGTCTGTTAAGTCCCATGGATGGCCCCCATGCCGGGGAAGGGTACAGAATCGCTCCTCCTGGAATCTCTGTCCCCTTCCCCTGACAGCGAGGCCAAAGCCGCTCACGGCTGGCACTACGACTGACATTCGCCAAAATTCCCTTCAAGCAGGAGGGCTGGGCCACAGATACTGGCCAGGACCTAACTTTGTCTTATTTTCACTGTGTTTGTTTTTATGGCTACTCTGTCCATGCTGGCACGCCCGCTTGCTCTCCTGCAGAGGGTGAGAAATGCCCTCTGAAAAGTAAATGCACAGGCACCTGTCCTTTAATGACCAGCCACTTCTGAGAATTGTAATGTGGCAGACTGCTGAGAGCAAACATTTTTATTACTAGGAGTGCACGATAAAGTAAAAATAATAGGGCTGGGTACAGCTCAGCGGTAGAGTGACAGCCTCCCCACTCCGGGCCCTGGCTTCCAGCCCCAGCATTTCGAAACATTAAAGTAGAAATAAAATCGCAGCTGGGTGTGGTGACACACACCTGTGATACGGGCACTCTGGGAGGCTGAGACAAGAGGATCTCAAGTTCAAGGCCAGCCTGGGCAACTTAGTGAGGCCCTCCCTCAAAATTTAAAAAGAATTTTTTGAATTTAAAAAAGTTAATTGGGATGTAATGCAGGGTGTGATTATTATGGTAAATGTTTAAATTTTAACATAATTTAAAATACTACTTGTTTACCGACTGAATTCTATTTCTGTGACTAAGTCCTTAACTGAATTGGTCGCTAAGTGAGGAATTGATGTAATATGTATGTTACAATATTCAGAACATAGAGGGCCGGGGATTTAGCTCAGTGATTCTGCTGCTTGCCTCACGAGCGCAAGGTCCTGAGTTCGATCCCCAGTCCCTCCCCCCCCCAAAATTCAGAACATAGAAATAGCCAAAGGAAACTCCAAATTGATGACTTCTATTTGCATAACTCTGACCTGCAGTACAGTAATGTATAACAGAACATAAAACTACAGTGCTATACAGCACAGTGCAACCAGCAAAAATTACAGTACTGTATAAACAAGGTGTGCTGTACAAAAAAAGACATTGAGGGTCTATATGTAAGACATACAGGGCCAGGGATTTAGCTCAGTGGTGAAGCACCTGCCTCACAAGCACAAGGTCCTGAGTTGGATCCCCGGTACCAGAAAACAAACAAACAAACACTAGAACAAGACTTACACAACTGTACCCCTCTCCTGCAAAAAAACCCATGAGTTTTTTTCCAAACGACAGTTGCCTCAGTCAGTAAGTCCGAACAGTAAACAGGTGGGCTGTTAAATGAGGAATGTTTGTATCACAGTAAAAAACACACTGCCATGAATCCTTCAGAATAATGCCCCTTACTTTGAACATGCTTTTCCCATGGTTCATGCCCCTTTCTGAAGCAGTTCTGGAGTCCTCTTTCATGAGGGTCTTTAGTTGTGCTGTTCTGGCTGCCTTGATGTCCTGAATCAGTTCAAAACGTTTAACTTTCACTGGGGTTTTGACTTTGGGGAAAAGCCAGAAGTCACATGGTGCCAGATCTGGTGAATAAGAGGGATGAGGACACAGCAGCATGTTTTTATGAATCTGCCTTCCCATTAGGTGGCACTCAGCAACAGCATTCACCCCATTTTCTTTAACACACCTTATACAGACACTCATGAAAGAGGATTCCAGAGCTTGCTTCAGAAAGCAGCAAGAATGATGGGATAAGCGTGGCCCCAGCTATGAGAGTATCTTGAGGTGACTCATGCCGATGCATCTTTCTACTGTAATAAAATTTTTATACACACATTCACCATATATTTTGGTCACTCCTTGTACACATAAAACTTAGCATCTTAGCCATGTTATGTACACAATTTATATTGTTCAGTACCTTCATGTTGTTGTACAACCAACCTCCAGAATTTTTCCATCTTGCAAAACTGAAACTCTGGGTCAGGGATTTAGCTCAGTGGTTCTGCCACCTGCCTCGCAAGCAGAAGGACCGGAGTTCGATCCCTGGTGCCAAAAAAAAACAAAACCAAAAACAAAACAAAAAACCCCTGCAACTCTACTGATTAACCGCTACCTCCCTGTTTCCTCCTCGCCCCAGCCCTCGGCGACCACCATCCTTCCTGCCTCTGGAGGGGACGGCTGTGGGGACCTCAGAGAAGTGAAATCACAACAGTCTGTCATTTTGTGGGTGGCTCAGTGCACTCAGCCTAATGTCCTCCTTTTCAACCCTCCTGTGCCACTCAGTAGTGTGGAATCCTGACATTCCCAGTCCCCAGCTGTTACACACCAAAGTTGCTTCTAACTTCCACTGAAAAAGAAAGGGAAGAGCTACAAACACACACAAGAACATTTGGGGATGTGTTAGATCTCTTCATTAGCTTTTAAAATGTTTTAAATTAGTAAATATTTACATTCCTGGGGGGAGGTCTGTGCCTGTACGTAACACACGTGATGCTTTTTGCATCCCCTTCCCTCCTCTCCCTCCTCCCCTTTCATCTCTTGGTCCTCTTCCCATTTGCAAAAGGTTTATGTCCCTGTTTCCTGTCATCTATGTTTTGTTTTGCCTTTAAATCATCTATTCTTTGGGTATCTTGTATAAGAGAAACTGCACTATTAAGCTTGTAAGTCTGATTTATTTCACTTATGTCTGTCAGCAGATGAATGGACAAAGAAAGTGTGGTGTTTCTGCATGGTGGAGTATTACACAGCCATAAAGAAGGATAAACTTGAGTCATTTGTAGGAAGATGGATGCAGCTGGAGACTGTAGTGTTAAATGAAATGCCCACTATCTTGGTTAAAGTGATCCTTTTGTGGTTGTGTCCATATGTCAAAACATATCGGATCATACACTTTACACACAGTACAGCTTCTGGCATGTTAATTATGCTCAATAGAGCTGTTATTTTTAAGCCGTGTCTTACCTTCCATCTCTGTGACAGATACCTGAGATAAACAAGGCATACTGAGGTTTTATCCAGGCTCATGGCTTCAGAGGTTTCGTCCATGATCTTTGGCCCTGTAGCTTAGGGCTTCCTTGGCAAGAAGCAAAGAGAGAGAAAGGGGAAGAGTCCAGGGTTCCAAGGTCCCCTTTGAGGCCACACCCTCTATGACCTCACTTCCTCCTTCTAAGCCCAGCACCCTAACAGGTTCACCATCCCCCAGCAGCAGCACAGGCTGGCCGCCACTGAGCCTTTGAGCATGTAGGTTTGGTAAGACATTTAAAATGCAAACCCTAGTTAAGCACAGTGGCACACTCCTATAATCCCAGCACTCTGGGAGGCTGAGGCAGGAGGATCACAAATCTGAGACCAGCCTGGGCAATTACTGCATGCTGCATGCTTGCAGTGCATATTGATTTCACTCCTCTTGGGGAGCTAGCACATGTGCATAATGCGTGTTAAGTTCTTCTTTCATCCCCTTCTGCTCCCCTCCCTCCATTCTTGGTCCCCTTCCCATCTGTGAAAAATTTGTCTCCCCGATTTCCATTATCATCCTTTATTTTGCTCTCTTTTTTTTTTTGGTACCGGGGATCGAACTCAGGTCCTTGCACTTTCACAGCAGGCAACAAAACCACTGAGCTAAATCCGCGGCCCTTATTTTGCTCTTTAAATTATTCATACTTCTGGTTTCTCATATAAGAGAAACCATTTGCTATTTAAGCTTATCTGTCTGATTTATTTCACTTTACATTATGATCTCAAGGTACATCCATTTTCTTACACATGACTCAAGTTTATCCTTCTTTATGGCAGAGCAGTGCTCCACTGTGCTGGAAATGGCAGTTTTTAAATTGTACTTATAATAAAGCCACAGGTTCAGGACACAAACCCAGTCAAAAATTGCTAAGATCCTTAAAGACACACAAAACCTTGGCCTGTCCCTTCTACCTGTAATGAGCCTTGTCCACCTGTGAATAGAGCATCTCTGTCCCCTGTCAAATGGCCTTCCCTGCGATGGACCACAGCTTTGTTACCTGTGATATCGGTCACCTGGGAATGGGCTGCCACCTTGTCTTGCAGAAAGAGCTCCACTTTCCTCTGTAAATCGAATCTCCACCTGGCCTGGGGTGTGGTGGTGCCCTGGAGAGGCTGAGGCAGGAGGATCGCTGAGTTCAAAGCCAGCCTGGGCTACATACCCTGTCTCAAAAAAAAACACAAGAAAAAATAGAATTCCCCCTTTCCATAGATTCACAAAATAGTGTCTTTTTTTTTTCACTTTTTTGGGGGGGGTACCAGGGATCGAACTCGGGACCTTGTGGTTGCAAGGCAGGCACCGGAACCACTGAGCTAAATCTCTGGCAAAATAGTGTAGATTTCCACTCCTAAATCCCAAATTCCCCATAAATATATGCAGCACTTGTTCTGTCTGTCTGTCTGTCTGTCTCTCTCTCTCTCTCCTCCTCTGTCTCTCTCCTTGCAGGTGTACTTTCAAAATCCTGCCTAATAAAATCAAATCCCTTTATGCCTCTCACTGACTGACACACCGACACACCCTGAAACTTCTTTTTCAGTGGTGGAAATCAGCAAATCTTCAACCTGCCCGGTGAGCAGGGTAAGTCAAGAGTTTTCTGTCTTCCTTCTGGGGATCCCTTTGACCCCTGAACGACATTTTGAGAAGACTTTCTTTAGAAGCAATGTTTGAGCTGAAACAAGGACGCTAGACAAAGCTAGGTGTGTGACTGTCTGGGGGAATTTTTCCACTCAAACACTTGGAAAACCGCTCAGCATCTGTAGTACAGGGGCACTGTGATGCTAAACAACGTGAGCCTTTTAAGTTGTGACGTTCATGTGAAGATTCTGGGGCAGGAATGCAGTAGTTGAGTTGGAGGCCCAGCAAGCAGCCCTTGCTGTAAAAGAGCTAGGTGGGTGAAGGGCATCTAGGACAGGGCTGGAGTGTGGAGGAGGAGTGTTCCTCTCGGCAAGGCAGAGCCCCAGACTAAGCTCGCCTGAGGTCTCTCCCAGGAAGCGGTGCAGTAATATTTGGAGCTGGCCGCATCTCCAGTGAATAGCACTCCGCAGGGACCTGCTCCTGGTCAGAGCCATTTGGAAGGGACAGCCAGGGCCGGTGCAGGGCGGGATGTAATTATCTACAAATGAGCCCCTCAAGCACTGGATCTTGTCCGGGCCACAGCGATCAGGCGAACTGGGCAGCAGGCCAGGCTGAGTGTGCGTGGGCGCGCGGGGCCTGAATTATTTCCTTTCTCCCAACTGGAACAAGTCCTGGGCTTCCAGTCTGTCTAAAACAAAACCAGTCTCTTCGCGCAGCCCCAGGGCCCAGGGCCATGGATCGAGGGTTCAGGGCAGCGGGGCAGGCTAGGCTGCACTCCCAGGCCTTCCTGGGAGCGCAGGAATCCTCAGCTCATCCCACCCGGGCCCCAAGTCTGCACAAAGCCCTGCTCTATTTCCTCCACCCAGGGCTATTTTTAGCCGCTAAGAAGGATTATGGAGTGGCGGCCAGGGAAGCCAGGCGGAGGGGCCGGGCCGGGTGCGGGACAACAAGGCCCAGGGGGCCTCACTGGGGCTGCCACACCTGGAGAGTCGCCAAATTGCCTTACAGCAGCCCGTCCAGACCACGGGGAAGCTCGGCTCTAAGGGGAGACAGCAAGGCCAGGAGGGCGGCCAGGCAGTGACTGGAGCCTCCACAGAGCCGGTAAGAAGAGCCAGCATCCTCCTTGCCATTGGGAGACAGGGTCTGGCTAAGTCGACCAGGCTGGGCTTGAACTTGGGATCCTCCTGCCTGGGCCTCCCAGAGTGCTGGTGTTACTGACCGCTTAGGGTCATATGCTCAGCCTCTTGAGTGCTAGGGTGACAAGTGTGCGCACCACCCCTAGGAAAAACCCTTTTTTATAACCACTGTAGCTCTTTTTATGTTGGTAGGGTCAACACTCAGGTGACTCTGATGTTCACAAGCTTTTTCCTCTGGTTTTTTTTTTTTTTTTGGGGTACCGGGGATCAAACTTGGGTCCTTGTGCTTGCACAGCAGGCAGCGAAACCACTGAGCTCAATCCCCAGCCCTTTCCTCTGTTTTTGATGTACTTGTTTTTCTGAAGGCATTGTCAATTAACTATCCGTGGCCTTGTCTCTCCATGCCAAGGGAGCTTTTTCTGGTGATGAGCAGTTGGAACATGTCCCTCCTTGGAGATCTGACAGATCAGAGTCAGTGTCATATGCTCTTTGTGTTAAATTTGAGTAATAACAGAGGTTGAGAAAGAGTGGCTCTCAGGCTGATTTTATCTAGAGTCCATTATCAAATCTAAACCTGTTTATTTTGTAGTAAGCACCCTAAAACATGAGAACTCCCACAAACAGTTATCAAGTTTCTAAGAACACATAAAACAAGCCAATAAGAATAAAGCAAATCTCGGGGCTGGGGATTTAGCTCAGTGATTCTGCCACCTGGCTCGCAAGCACAAGGTCCCGAGTTTGATCCCTGGTACAAAAAAAAAAAGAATAAAGCAAATCTCTTCAGGCCCAGTGGTGCACGCCTATGATCCCAGCGCTCAGGAGGCTGAGGCAGCAGGATTGCTGTGAGCTCAAGGCCAGCCTGGGCTGCATAGTGAGACCCTGTCTCAAAAAAAGAAAGACAATTTTCAAACATTTAATCTTAACAAGATAGGAGAGAGCACATGAAATTATTTTGACAAATTTAAAACCTCTTTTTTAAAGTTCGGTTGTAAATTTTACTAAGAACAGAATAAAATCTTAAACCTTGTTGTTTTAAACAAAGATACTAACATTATCTCTGTGTATTATAGTTTAATCTGTCACTCTGACTCTGCTTCTGCTTTCTCTGCTTCTGGCCGCCATGAGGTGAGCAGCTTTCCTCCACTTTGATGTTTCTGCCTTGGAGCCAGCCACGCATGGACCGAACCCTCTGAAACCATAAGCCAAAATGAATCTTTCCTCCTTTAAGTTATGTATGTCAGGTGTTTTGTCCCATCAACAAAAAACTGACTAATACAGTAGGCACCCACCATACCAGTAAGCTATGCCCCCACCCCCTGCCCAGGGCCCCAGCCCTCAGTACTTCCTGTCTCCTCTCAGTGTCCCCATTTGGCTTGGGCAATGCTTGGCCCGACTCTTGCCCTGAAATCAACTCTGTCACCAAACTCTCTGCTCCTTAGTGCTCTGCACGTTTCAGCACCAAGGGCACTGAGGTTGAAGATGAATTAAGGTTGCTAATCAGAGACCTGGAGATGGGAGATCACATCGTGCTCTGATCTTTGTTTTCTTATAGGACAGATGGAAATTGTGGGGTGTTAATCACCATACAAGTAATGAGCCACCTTTGAAAGGCCAGAAGGGGGCGCTGTGAGCCAGGCGTGGTGGCACACACCTGTAATCCCAACACCTAGGAGGCTCACCAGGAGTTTGAGGCCAACCTGGGTTACATAGTGAATTCAAGGCCAGCCTGGACTACATAGTGACACCTTGGGTCTCAGCACGGATAGCTTCTCCTCAGAAAGTTCCTCCTTGACCAGATTTAAAATCACACCATTCTGTGTTTTCTACCAGGCCCCATCTCACTGGGTATCTCATTTATTTATGCATCTGTTTACACATCTATTGGCTGCCTTCCCTGCACAGTTGTGAGTCCACGGAGACAAGAATGTGTGCTTTGCTCCCCTGCTGTGGTCCTAGTGCCAATTCCTAGTCTGGCATCTACAGTCAAGTCAATCTGAGAACATATGTTGCCTGGATGAATGCGTGGATGGATGAATGGATGGGCAGACTGAGAAATGGGTGGGCAGATGTTTGGATGGATGGGCAGGTAGATGGATGAAGAGATGGATAGATGATGGATGGCTGAATGGACAGATGGATAAATGGATGCGTGAATGGATGGATGGTCAGATGAAGGAATGGACAGAATTTCCAAGTGGAGACTGGTACTAACTGGGCACTTGGCTCAATATCTCAAGAATTAGGAACTATTTGGGCTCATTAAAGCAAGCCGGGCCCTGCTGGCTGGAGCTGCTTCGCACCTGCTCTTGCGGGAATGCTGCCCCACCTTGATCATTGCTTTATCATTGGGAGCTTGGACATGCAGTCAGCTCCTCCCAAGCCACAGCCAGCATTTAGGAGAATAAGCCGGACTGCCTACTTTTATGCCTAGCGGGATGTCCATGCTCTAAGAACAGCCTGGGAGCCCAACCTCGGACATCCTTCAACCCCTCATCTTTGGGCTTCATCAGAAGCAGGTTCCTGCATTGGAAGGAAAATGTCTAACATTTGAGGACTCAAGTTCACGGCTGCAGCCTGACATGGTGGGGCACACCTGTAATCCCTACGCTCCATGGGGCTGAGGCAGGAGGACCACAAGGTGGAGTCCACCCTGGGCAACTTGGCAACTTCTCAAGACCTTTTCTCAAAATTTGAAAAGGATAGGGAATGTAGCTCAGTGCAAAGGCCCTGAGTTCAACCCCCAGTACTATACATACACACATACACACACACACACACACACACATAATTCCTGGCCCCAAGTGGCCTCTCCTTTGACTTCTGGCCACTCTTTTGGCATCTGAAAAGGACAGAATAATAACTATTACTATGAGCTGTATTATTCCTGCTCTTGTTATTCTTGTTAAGGGTCAATAGACTAAGCACTTCAGTGCTTGCGCCTGACTGGCAAGCCCAAGGTCCTGAGTTCAATGCCCAGTACTACAAAAAAAAAAAAAAAAAATATATATATATATATATATATGTATACACACACATATGGATTAAAAATATATATATATTAGACTAAGCACTTCATGTGATTGGCAGGCCAGGCTGAGAAATGGGTGTGGTGGTCCCTGTTTTATGAATGAATTTGAGTTTGAGAGAAGTGAGGTCATTTGCCTGAGGACACACAGCCTGTGTCTACCCTTAACCCTGGCCATGACACTCCTTGCCTCCTTGCCAGATGACGTGGGATAAAGGTAGCAGGTGGCCAAGTGTCAACCTTAGGAGGCCAGAGAGCAGCTCCAATGGCCGGGGCAGGGCAGGTCCTCCCTCTGGCCCCACCTCTCTGCCCACGCACACTCCCCAGTGAGCCGTGGGGCGCAGGGGCCTGGGTCCTGCCACTCCGAGGTCCCGCTGGCAGTGATCCACTTGGCCCCCGTACGTCTGCAGGATGCTGTCAGCCCTGAACAACTTGGTGTGGCACGAGAGGATCTGGCTACCACCCAGCAAGACATGGACAGACATGGAAGACCAGGACGGCATGGTCCTGGCCCACCCCCGGGACATACTAGTGGCCCTGCCCCTGATACTGATGCTGGTGACAGCACGCCTCGCCTTCGACAGGTGAATGTCTCCTGCTTTGACCAGCAACCCCAGCCCTGCTCCCGCGCCGGGCAGGGTTTCCTTTTGCCCCAAAATGCTTTTCTTGGCTCTCACCTGTCTCGGCTGCTGCTTCCATGGCTTGGCCCCTGGAAGGCTCAGTTTCCCAACCCAGAGCATGCTCTCCCACTCCCCTCTATCCGCAGTCATGTCCCTTGTCTCTCGGGCTTTGATGACTGTGTCCCCCTGACCCAGATTCATAGGCATGCCCGCGTCCCGCTGGCTGGGCATGCGGGATCCCACCAGGAAGCAGGTGAAGCCCAACCCCACGCTGGAGAAATACTTCCTCCAGAAAGGACAGAAACCCGAAGAGGTGAGAGCACCCCTCAGTCCACATGGCCAGCATGGCAGCCCTGCCCCACTTGCTGAGGGCTGGGGAAGCCACTGTGGCCTCCGGTCCCCTCTCCTGCACTCCCCCTGATCCACAGCTTCCCTGGGAGGCGAGGCCCAGCCTCTGCCAGCCTGCCTTAGTGATGCGGCCCCGCCCCCAGGCTCTTGGGGGGTTAGGTGCTCCCCCAGCCCTGGGCATCAGCAGAGACTTGGGGGTGTGCAGGAAAGCCTGGGGGTGCCCCTCCCCGGCCTCGTTCTTAATCCCAGTCTCTAGTGAACAAGGCTGGTCCTAAGACTCAGAGGTTCTGGTCCTGCCCCCAATGGGGGGTGCAGGGGAAGAGGAGCAGAGCCCGGTCCTCCCACCCCAGGGACAGAGGGCAGGAAGCCACCGCCAGGCCTCTGTGACCCTAGCCCCTGTCACCCCTCCCCAGGCCCAAGTGGCCCTCCTGGCTGCCCAGTGTGGCCTCACGCTGCAACAGACTCAACACTGGTTCCGGAGACGCCGGAACCAGGATCGGCCCCACATGTCCAAGAAGTTCTGTGAGGCCAGGTAATCCCGGGGCTGGGGACCAGAGAGAGGAGCCGTCTGCTCCTTGGGCAGCTGCGACCTGGCCTTCCTCCCCTTTGCAGCTGGAGGTTTCTCTTCTACCTCAGCACCTCCATTAGTGGCATCTTGGTCCTGTACCCTGTGAGTATGGAAGCCCCCAGGAGACCCCAGACCAGGCGGCCGCTGGCTTCTGGCCTTCAGAGCTTGAAGCCCCTTTCCTCTGCAGGAGCCGTGGCTGTGGGACGTGGCAGAGTCCTGGAGAAATTACCCAAGCCAGGTGAGTAGCAGGGGGTGAGCACAGGTACAAGAGCCAAACCTAAGCATCACACCCAAAGTTCCCCTCTAAGGTCCGCTCTTTGACTGAGTCTGACCCAGTGTGGCTGCTACAAAACAATCCCCTTGATTACCTCCAGTGACAGGGAGCTCACCCCTTCCCTGCTCACTGGTTTGGAGCAAAGGGGAGGGTCTTGAGCCATGCCCCTGACCGGCCAGTAGGAGACTCCATCACCCACAGCTGGCCTTGCCCCAACCCGCCACAGCACCTGAAACCAGCCCTGTCCTGGTGGTACCTCACGGAGCTGAGTTACTACAGCTCGCTGCTCCTCAGGCTGCCCTTCGACGTCAAGCGCAAGGTGAGGCCAAGCCAAGAGTCCGGGCGGGGAAGTGGACGCCCTGGGGCGCTGGGCTGGGGCGGGGTGACCACGTCTCCACACCCGGCGGGCCTCCTGATGTGCCTGGCACGTGGGTTGGGGTCCCCAGGCCACGCTGACCCTCGGTGACCCACCGTCCCCCGCAGGATTTCAAGGAGCAGGTGATGCACCATTTCGTGGCTGTCTTCCTGATCTTCTTCTCCTACGGCGCGAACCTGGTGCGCATCGGGTCTCTGGTCTTGCTGCTGCACGACTTCGGCGACTGCCTGCTGGAGGTGGGCCGGGCCCTCCTAACCTCCCACCTCCCAGGGCCCCCACCCCCCCCAGCTGAGGCTCCGCCCTGCCACCCGCCCCGGGACGTGAGGCCCCCCAGCCTCTCTAGGCCTCTCTAGGCCCCTCCCGGTCTCCGGGGAGACGCGGCCCCGCCCCTCTCCGTCTCCGGAGAGACGAGGCCCCGCCTCTCTCCAGCTCCCAGGGTGCTGAGACTTTCTCACCTTTCTAAGGCAGTTTCTGTGGATAAGGCCTCAGCCCGGCTCCTTTGGCCTTGCCCCTTGGTGCCTTTTCCTTGAGACAGGCCCCACTTTGCCCGGCTCCCCAACCTCATCCCTCCATCCCACCCAGCCTGGGTCCTGAGCGCCTTTCCCGGCTGCGCTCCCAGGCCTGCAAGGTGCTCAACTACATGCGCCTCTCGCTAACGTGCGACATCTTGTTCTTCATCTTCGCCTCGGTCTTCTTCTACACCCGCCTCATCCTGATGCCCACCACGTGAGTGCCCCGTGAGGGTAAGGGTGGGAGGGCAGCCCCAGCCCACCGCACCTGGGGCCCTGCCCCCGGGAGCCGGAGACTTCCGGGCAGGGAAGGACGTGTCCCGCAATGCGCCCATCATGTGCAAAGGCCCGGCGTTAACCGGCAGAAAGCAGGCTCAATGGTCGCTGTTCAGTGTCCCCTGGAACCGGAAGTGGGGGGGCGGCAGGGGCACCACCTCCCGGAAGTTATCCCCTGGTAATATTTGTTGAGCCAGGTGGTGGGGACATAGCAAGGGACAAGCCTATCCTCGTGTTCCTGTCCAGACACAGAGGGATCACAAGGGACTGATTGTGCCAAAGAGAAAAGAAAGTCGGGGAAGGCACAGGAAGCGTGTGTGGCCGCTGGAACTCACCAGGGTGTTCAAGGACACTTTGCTGGCCGCGTTTGTGCAGAAGAAAGGGGATTCTTGCAAGGTGTCCAAAAAATGAAGCTGGGTGTGGTGGTGCGCATCTGTCATCCCAGCACTCGGGAGGCAGAGCAGAAGGATCACCAAGAGTTTGAGGCCAGCCTGGGCTACATAGTGAGACCCTGTCTCTAAATAAATAAATAAATAAATAAGATTTTTTTTTAAAAAGGGGGAGCCATAAAAGTTTCCAGAGCAGGAAGGCCCATGTAAGTTAGAGGTTCCTATGGCTGGTGGGACCCCTTTCCCTCCCAACGTAGGATCATCTACTCTGTGTACTATGACTCCATGAAGCAGTTCACCCCCTTCTTTGGCTACTACTTCTTCCTCACCCTTCTGGTGTCACTCAACATGCTGCACGTGTACTGGTTCAGCCTCATCCTGCGCATGCTCTACAACTACCTGGTGAAGGGTCAGGTATGGCCAGGGAGGGTTAGAGCCTGTGGGCTTCCCCAAGTCCCCGGTCACCCAAGCCCCTCCTTGTCCCTCTCTGTTCCCCAGATGACAAAGGACATTCGCAGTGATAGCGAAGAGTCCAGCTCCAGCACTGACGAGGCAGCGCCTGGGCATCCCCAGCTGAAGAATGGGATGGCTTGCAGGCCTGGGCCGGCCCTGGCTGGCAGCCGCCGGAGCCGGGCAAAAGGGCAGCTGGCCAATGGGCACACAGCCGCCACTTAGCCAGCGGGGCCTGGCTTTGGGGGCAGCTGCCCATCCAGGGGACGCAGGGAGGCCCCACCCACAGTGGGCAAGGGGTGATGATCTGTCCCCAGGCCCTTTCTTCTGGACAATGACAGGATATCGGTGGCAGGCTAGAACCACCTCAGGCTGCAGCCCTGGGGGCTGCATTGAGCCCTGGCTGAGAGGAAGTCAAAAGCCCAGCATGGTGGCATACACCTGCCATCCCAGCACTCAGGAGGCTGAGGCAGGAGGATTGCCACAAGTTCGAGGGCCAGCCTGGACTACATAACGAGATCTTGTCTCATAAACAGAATAAGAGAGGTTCAATAAAACTTGAACTAAATTCTCCGCCTGAGAACCTGGGTCCCTGTCAAGTTCTTGCCCCTTCCCCAAAACGCAGAGGGTGCCAAGCTGTCCCCTTACATGCTCCCCAAGACAGGACACTCACACCGATCAGGCCACCGAGACCCCCGAAGACCTCAGGCGAGCCCCAGACCCCTCAGCCAGTGCCATGGTGGTCTCAGCCAGCTGTTCAGACCCGACCTAAGGCGCTCCTCAGAAACCTCAGGCCTTCTCCCAAGGTCACGCGGCTGTCAGGGCCAAGCAGGAGGCCACAGGGAGGCCTGTGCTTGTCCTTGTGGCCCCCAAACCTGCCCTCCTGGTGCCCTGGGGAATTCTAGGCAGAGTGAAGGAAGTCCAGGGTGGGGCTATAAATTCCCACAGGCTTCCCAAGGGTCCTGGGCAAGATCACCCTATCTTTAGGGTTCCACAGGAAAGGAGGACCCTGTCCAAGACAGCTGGAGAACCCAGACCCCCATATTAATTAAATTTTTTTAAAAAAGAAAAAGAAACAAGATGAAGTTAGCAGAGCATGGAGGCACACACCTCTAATTTCAGCACTTTGGGAGGCTGAGGCAGGAGGATCGCTGTGAGTTCTGGGCTACATAGTGAGTTCAAGGCCAGCCTGAACTGCATAGCCAGACCTTACCTCAAAAAAATTTTTATTTTTGCACAAAATGACCCTAAGGCTATGTGTATAAAGTGTATGTGAAACATTAATGAGTTTCATATTTAAACGTGTGTTTCCCCCCCCACTCAAAAGTGGGTTTATTGGGCCGGGAATTCAGCTCAGTGGTGTTGCCACCTGCCTCGCAAGCGCAAGGACCCGAGTTTGATCCCCCTCCCCCCCAAAAATGGGTTTATCCCCACTATATCTCGTTACACATATGCAAATGTTCTCAAATCTGAGCTTTTCTGTTTCCAGGCACTGGGTGAGGGATTCCGCTAGACCTGCACGGGTAAAAGTGGGGCGACAGCGCCCTCTGTTGGTGCTGTTTGCAAGAATGTGGCTCTGCGTGACTCGCCCACCTCTTGAGCCGTAACTACGGAAAATACCTCTCCTCTTATCTCCAGATACACGTAGATGCTAAGGTAGCGAGTGTGTGAGTCATGCATTAGTATTTCTAGCACTCCTGCGGCTCAGTAAGAGGAGGGCAGCCAATCTGAAAGTAAAGACAAAACTGCGGGTTATGCTGGTGCATGCTCCTAATCCCAGCACTCCAGGAGCTGAGTCAGAAAAATCTCAAGTTTGAGCCCAACCTGGGCAATTTAGTGATTTAGCAAGATCTTATCTCAAAATAAAAAATAACAAAAATTAAAAAGGGTTGGAGATGGAGATGGAGTGTTATATGAATGTCCTGGGTTCCATCGCTGGCACTTTTTTCTTTCCTTTTAGCTTCCTTTTTTTTTTTTTTTTTTTTGAGACAGGGTCTCCCTGTGTAGTGCAGACTGGCCTCAAACTCACAGCAATCCTCCTGCCTCAGCCTCCTGAGTATAGGATTAAAGGCATTCACCACCACACCCAGCTTCCTAGTACCATTTTTTTTTTAAATGGTAAAGGGAAAACATTCAGCACACGTGTAGAAAACTCTTAGAACAAATAAATTTATAAAGACACACTTGATTTCATTAATAAGTAGGAATACAGGAATCGAGACCAGGACGTTTGAGTTTTGGGGGGATTTTTGTTTGTTTGCATTTTTGTTTCTTTGGTTTTTTGGTTTTGGTTTTTTGAGACAGGGTCTCACTATGCAGTTCAGGCTGGCCTTGAACTCACTATGTAGCACAGGCTGGCCTCTAGCTCAAGGCAATCCTCCTGCCTCAGCCTCAGAGTGCTGGGATTACAGGCATGTACCACCACACCCAGCAAGATGTCATTTTAGACACACGCAATTGGTAATTTTTTTTTAAATCAGAAAATAGCACATGCTGCACATAATAGGGGTCCACAGGAATCTCAGTGGTAGAGTGATTGCTTAGCATGCAGAAGGTCCTGGGTTCAAATCCCAGAACTGCAAAAACAAAAAAGTTGTATAGGTGTTAATATCTATCTCCTAGAACTATAGTAAACAGAAAATGGAAACAGAATTCAAACAGTGATGTTACCTTTGGCTTGGGAACATAAGGGGAAAGGGACTCAAACAGATGTAAATCACTGTCACTGCTGGAGGTTTTAAGTGAGATTCAGAGACAGACTCTCATTCATTGTCAATAAATGCAATTTAAAAGGGATAAGCAGCAGGCATGGGGGTGCCCGTCTGTGATCCCAGCACTCTGGGAGGCTGAGGCAGGAGAATTACAAACTTGAGCCCAGCCTGGGCAACTTAGAAACTTAGCAAGACCCTGACTCAAAATAACAAAATAAACCAGCCATGGTAATGCACACCTGTAACCCCAGCACTGAGCAGGCTGAGGCAGGAGGATTGCTGTGAGTTCAAGGCCAGCCTAAACTACATAGCTAGACCCTGTTTCAAAGAACAACAGGAAAAGTGTCAGTGAGGACAGAGAAAGATTAAAATACCCTGTGGTGGGAATGTAAAATGGATTCATCAGTGTGGAAAAATGTGATGGTTTCTTAAAGAGTTAAGCACAGAATTCCCTTATGATCCAGCAACCTCACTCCTAGCTATATACAGAAAAGTACTAAAAGGAGAGACTGAAGTACTGGTGCATAAATGTCCCTAGCAGCACTGTCATGGTTTAGACGTACAATGTCCCCAAAAGTCTCATGCTAGCAGGTGGGGCCTGGCCGGGGGCCAGGTCACAGGGGCCATGGCCTGGAAGGGGGCTCCATTCTGTCTGCTTCCTGGCTGCCATGAGGTGAGTGACTCTTTCCACCAGGCCCTTCTGCCATGTTGCTTCTATTGGGGAGCGGGCCAACCATGGACTGAACCCACTGGAACTAAATAAATCTCTCCTCCTTTAAATTGGGGGTGTATGGTATTATGTCCCAGAAAGACAAGCACTATTCACAATAAGCAAAGCCAGAAATATCCAAACATCCCCCAGCGGGTGAATAGATAAACAAACTGTAGTTTATCCACACAATAAAATATTCTTCAGGCATAAAAAGGAAGGAAGTACTGATATGTGCTAAAAATGGGAGACCTTTGTCAGTGTGGCAGAACATGCCTATCATGCCAGCACTCGGGAGGCTGAGGCAGGAAGATTTCTGAGAGTTCAAGGCCAGTCTGGGTTACATGGCAAATTCAAAGCCAGCCTGAACTACATAATGAGACGCTGTCTCAGAAAATTAAAAAATAAAAAGCAGGCACAGTGAAGAAGCCAGTCACAAAGAGCCACACATTCTTATGACTCCATCTGCTATGAAATGCCCAGAGGAGTAAATCAAAATGCGGTTTTATAGGTTCTAGAGATTAAGAAGATAAGAAGTACTTATTTAATAGGTACAGAGCTTTTTTTATGGCGTGACAGAAATGTTTTGGAACTAAAGTTGTGCTTGTACAGCATCTTGCATACTGTACAAAATGCCAATAAACTGTTCATTTTAGAATAGTTAATTTCATGTTATGTGAATTTATGCTAATAAAATACATGAAAAAGGGGATCTGCTTAAACCAAAAATCAACAGTGTCTCCTGAAGCAAGGCTCACAATGATTGCAATTCCATGTGCCTGGTGTTCTCAGACCCCACTTCCCATTAACCCCCTCCCCAAACACATAAAAAACCCCTCACGGGCTGGGCACAGTGGCACCATCCTGTAACTCCAGCTACTTGGGAGGCTGAGGCAAGAGGATCGAAAGTTTGATCCAGCCTGGGCAACACAGTGACTTAAAGATCCTCTCTCAAAATAAAAAAACAAATGGGAGACTTGGGGTGTTGCTCAGTGATAGAGTACTAAGTTCAAACCCCAGTACTAGAAAAGTGAAGGAAAACCAAAGAAGGAAGGAGACAAAGATCCTTGCTATTGCCATTCATGCAAAATTGTGCTGGGAGTTCTAAACACTGTAGTGTGGTGAGACAAGAAAGGGTGTAAAGTTAGAAAAGAAAAAATGAAACTGTTTTCTGTCTATGACGTTCTGTCTGTGTCTAAAGGCTGGAAGGAGTCAGGCAGTGTTTAGATCAATGGTAGAGTACATGAGCACACACACACACACACACAATAGCTCAGAAGTTTCTACAGGCAAATTGCTTAAATTAATATGAGTTTAGATCTGGGTACAGTGGCACATGCCTATAATCCCAACACTTAGGAGGGGGAGGCAGGAGGATCTACGCAAATTTGAGGCCAGCCTGGGCTACACAGTGAGTTTAAAGCCAGCCTGGGCTACCCGGATTACAAAGGGAAATCCTGTCTCAAAACACCAAAAAAAAGGGGTTTAGATAAATTGCTGCATTCAAAATAAGTATACAAAAGGGATTTTAATCCACATGATAGGCATTTAGTTTTATTTTTTTTATTTAGCAACAATCAATTAGAAAAGATCATTTGTTACAGAAAAGATTAAAAATAAACTAGATATGAATAAGCTCTTTATGGAGAAAATTACCTAAAATGTATTCAAACTGTTTTGTCTTGTTTTTGGTACAGGGATCAAACTCAGGACCTTGCACTTGGGAGGAAGGTGTGGTGACACTGAGCTAAATCCTCGGCCCTGCTTTTGTTTTTCTGAGACAGGATCTCACTATGTTGTCAGGCTAACCTTGAACTCCTGTGCTCAATACATCCTCCTGCCTCAGCTTCCAGAGCAGCTGGGACTACAGGTGCACACCAACTCACCAAGCTTCAAAGCAATTTAGATCAAAATTCCAAAAGGTTTCATTTCACAGAACATGACAGACTGATAGTACATATGAACGTTTGAGAGTCCCACAGCCAAGCATTCCTTAAAAGTCTACGGTGGCTGGGTGTGGTGGTGCACTCCTATAGTCCCAGAACTCTGGAGGCTGAGGCAGGAGAATCACCTCGAGTTCAAGGCCAGGCTGGGCTACACAGTGAGTTCAAGGCCAGCTTGAACTACATAGCAAGAAACTGTCTCAAAAAACAACACGTACACTGTGGAGAACAAACAAGAAAAAATCAGCAGTGGAATTCAGGAAATGTAAAAGAAGCATTATTGCCAATTTTCTCAATGAGTTTTCTAGGGTTTTTTTTCATAACAAGTTTTCTGGGGCTTTTGTTTTGTTTTGTTTTGACAAGGGTTCACTGGCAGTTCAGGCTCCTCTTGAATTCACCGTGTAGCCTACTCTGGCCCTGATCTAGTGGTGATCCTCCTGCCTCAGCCTCCTGAGAGCTGAGCTTACAGGTAAGCACCATCAATGGCCAGTGCTTTTGTTGTTTTGTTTTTGAGACAGGGTCTCACTACGTGGTCCTGGCTGGCCTTGAACTCACTATGTTCTCCAGGATGGCCTGGAACTTACGGAAATCCTCCTACTTCAGCCTCCCAAGCAGCTGGGATTATAGGTGTGCACCACTCAGTTTTGAAAGGGATTTCTTGGCTTCTGTAGCTGTAAATGTCAAAGACAATGTTTCTCTCCAGAAGCTTGTGGCATCCCCCAGACTCTGGCTGCCGTGGCTTTAGTGTTCATGGCTCTTTCTGCGACTGAGGCCTTAATCCTAGGGCAATTGTGCATCACAGGGGATCCAGGCTGCAGCCATCTTCCCGGAAGCAGGAAAATCTCCCAGAAGCCCACAGAACACGCCTGTGTCTCATCAGGTGCTGCCCATGGGCCAATCAGGCAGCCAAAGGAGCAGTTCCTCACCAATGAGAGTTCATTTCTGACTTGGGGGTGGAGCCAGTCTCATCCAATTGCAGGAATGAGAAGAGTTGGACCAGCAGTCAAGGGGCAGGTGAGAGACCCCAAACCACCCTAATAAAGAGGGAAGGGGGCTTGAGGAGGGGAATGGGATAAAATAAAATTTACTTTAAAATAAATAAAGAGCTCCCAGATACCAGCTGGGCCAACATACAAACTGGCAAGTCACAAGAGTGGAGTTTTTTAGGCTGGTATGGTGCCGCATGCCTATAATCCCAGTCACTCCAGAGGCTGAGGCAGGAGGATCTCAAAACTTTGAACCCAGCCTTAGGCTCTTTTATTTTGAGACTGCCTCAAAATAAAATTTAAAGGTGGGGTGTGGCTCAGTGGTGGAACACTTGCCTAGCATACGCGCAGCCCACTACTGAAAAGACCTGGCCGAATTGCCAAATGGGCTGGTGCCAAAGTGAACCCAAAGGGCTCCAGGTGCGAGCACATGGCGCTGCCTAGAGGCCACTTCCTACATTGCGCTGTTCTTGGGGCGCTGCCTCCTTTCCTGGTAAAAGACATCCATGCCCAGCTCCTCCCCAGCTCCCCAATGCCCTCGCCTAGCAAGGAGCCACCCCAGTTCTGCTTCCCCAATATGTCCTACCAGGGACCACACACGTGTATGGCTGTGTCCTCCCTCCTGTGTTTGGTTTTGTTATGGAGGTTAAAGTTACACAGCATTAAATCAACCGAGTTTAGGCCTGGGGATGTAGCTCAGTGGTGCCAGCACCTGCCTCACAAGCACAAGGTCCTGAGTTGGATCCCTGGTACCAAAAATAAATAAATAAATAAATAAATAAATAAATAAATAAAATTAACCAAGTAATTCAGCTGAGTGCAGTACACACGTGTAATCCTAGCTCCTCAGGAGGCTGAGGCAGGAGGACTGCAAGTTCCAGCACAGCCTGGGCAATTTTGGTCATGGTGAACAATGTATGAAAGAGTTAAGAACATATCACCACAAATATACCATCCTGGCATAGCGATCTATTACATTAAACGAACTTAAATTGGGTGTGGTGGTACACACTTTTAATTCCAGTACTCAGAAGGCTGAGGCAGGAGGCCCACAAGTTTAAACCCAGGCTGGGCAACTTAACAAAACTCTCTCAAAAACCTAAAATAAATAAAAATAAAAGCCCTGGTATTTGCTTGCGTATGATCTTCGCACAAAAGGATGCTAGATAAAGTCATTATACTACAATGACTACGGAATTGTGACAAGAGGGAAAAAAGCTTATTCACATCAGGTGCACCACACTCAGTGAAAGAAGCCAGACATCAACCCGACGTGGTGGCACATGCCTGTGGTCCCAAGCACTCGAGGCTGAGCCAGGAGGATTGCCATGAGTTCAAGCCCAGCCTGGGCTACACAGAGTTCAGGGCTAGTCTGAGCTACATAGTGAGACTCTGTCTCCAAAAAATCAAATAATAGTTTCCTGGAAATGACTCACCAACCTAGTTCTTAGGGACAGGATGTGCTGCTGGCAGATAAGCAAGCTAGCCAGAGGGAACAAAGAGCCCCAAAATCCCAGGGCGCCCACGCAGGACGACACATGGACCCCCATGGGCTCAGATGCCTGGAGCCAGGCCACTTGTCCCCACAGGCACAGGGTCCCAGAGCTAAAGTCCCCTTCCTGATACACCCACCCCAGCTATCAGAGCCCAAGACCCTGCCCCCCCCCCGCCCCGCACACACAGACAGCAGGGTGGGGGGGACCCTCACCTACCGCCTCTCCTGTCCCTGGCTCCCTGGCGCCCTCTGCCTACTTGAGGCAGCCACTATGCAAGCCAGGCCCCAGCCGGGGGCTCGGTGTTCACATCTGTGTGATCCCCATGCCCACACACGTGCACACGCAGTGGAAGTGACACAGGCACAGCAGCTTCTACTGTGCACTTCCGAATCCCCAATTCCCCAGCCTGCTAGGGTATCCCCAACATCCCCTACCCAGGCAGCAGATTAAACAGAGACCTTCTGTGTGGTGACATTCAGCAGCCTTGTCCCTAGACTAGCAGGCACGGCCCTGTGAAGGAACCACCCAAGAACCCCCAAACTGTGACAGAGAACACGAGGCTGGTATGTGCAACCATCCGGCCTGGGGCAGTTGGTTCAGTGAGGACAAGGGCCCAAAGGACACCCCTGGAAGTCTGCATACCATGGACATCCATTCAGGAGACAGGTGGCTTCACACCCAGCACGCACCTGTCTGACACACACCTCTGGTCTGTGGGGGCTGGCCCTGCCTGAGCAGAGGTTAGATTATCTGGGATCTGTGGTGTGCGCCTGTAATCCCAGCACTCTGGGAGGCTGAGGCAGGAAGATCACCAAGTTGGAGCCCACCCTGAGCATCTCAGCAATTTAGCAAGAGTCTGTCTCAAAATAAAGGCTTTTGGGGGTCTTTTTGGTGTGTGTGGGGGGGGTTAAGACAGAGAGTTAGAGGTCAGCCAGAACTAAGAGATCCTACCTCAAAAAACAAACAACAAAAACCCCAAGGTCAGAAGTCCCTGGCTCCATCTCCCAGGCCCAGGGTACCAGGGTACATTCCTTCCTGCTCAGATCTCAGCTCTCACTGAGCAACCAGCCCCTTCCCAGGCCACTTCCAGGCCTCAGCAAACCATCTGCAGGCAGGGAGCAAGAGCCAGCCCTCGGCCCACCTTTTATTGGGTCCTCACCCCATGGGATGGACCCAGACAGTAGGAGCAGACCCACTAACCCTGCCACGCCCACACCCTGCTGCAGAAACCAGCAGAAAGGCCTTTGCCAGCCATTTCCCTGGCTCCCTCTGCCTCCTGACCAGCCCCACCCCGCTCCGTGCCTCCCCGAGGGTCCAGTGTGGGGTGGCTGGCATGTCCCACACCCAGGGAACTGTGAGCTTGTGTGTGTGGTTCTGGGGATTCAATCCCAGAATGGACTACAATCCTCAGCCTTTTTTTTTTGTACCAGGAATCAAACTTTGAACCTTGTGCTTGCGCAGCAGGCCGCAGAACCACTGAGCTAAATCCCTGGCTCCTCGGCCCTTTTTTTTTTTTTTGGTACTGGGGCTCGAACTCGGGTCCTTTCGCTTGCGCAGCAGGCGATGAAACCACTAAGCTAAATCCCTGGCCCTCAGCACTTTTTTTTGAAAAGGGTCTTCTTGCTAAGTTTCTCAATTGTGCCTGCTGGGCTTGAACTTGCAATATTTCTGCCTCAGCCTCCCAGAGTGCTGGGATTACAGGGGTGCACCCCCATGCCCAGCTATGCCTTTCCAATGAGTGTTTTTTGTTTTAGTTTGGTTTGATTTTCTGAGACAGGGCCTGCTATGTAGCCCCGGCTGGCCTCACACTCAAGGTGATCCTCCTACCTCAGCCCCCCCAGGGCTGGGATCACAGGCCGTGAGCCACCACGCCCAGCTGTTGCTTATTTCTTTTCAGTTGGTCTCACCCTACCTGAGTAAATAAAACCTATATTTTAAAGCAGGGTGGAACTGAGACCAGTAGAGGCCCCTGGGCTTCCATATCAGACAGAAGCCATGGGGTGTGGGATCCCTAACTCGGGGAAGGAGCAGGCAGTGCCCGAGCTCTGCTCCTTCCCTGAAGCTGCTGTGGATGCAGAGCCCCCTTCCACCCTGCCATTTCCTCCCCTCCCAGGAAGCAAGAGGCAGAGTGGCTAAGGGGGTGACTGGGATGGAACCTCGAGTCCCACCTTCTCTGCACTAAGCGCTCTGCCCTGGCAAAGCCCCCAGGGTGCCCAGGCCAAGGAAGACAGAGGCCAGAGGCAGTGAGGATGTGCAGGGCTTTAATCCCCACCCTGGCCAGGTGGCAGGAGTATGAGTGCACAAAGACATCTGAGCCTGGTTCCACCTGCGGCACCTTCTCCTCCTCCATCCTCATCCGGGGACACCAGCCTTGGGGCCACATCTGCAAGAGCTCAGCTCTGCAGTTCTAGTTGCTCAGGACAGCCAAGTTCCTGAGGGCTGGGGCGCTGCCTGCGTGTCCTCACCACGGTCTCCCTCAGGCTGGCTGCAGGCAGTCAGAGCCGAGCGACAGGGGGCAACAGTGACAGAGATCTTCAGAGCACCGAGCTCTTCCGTTCTGACAACACCAGGGACTCCTTCATGGCCACCAGCAGGCCCAGCGGCCGCAGGGACCCTTGGGCTCGGAGCTGGAACACAACCAGGAGGGTGACGGCGGCCAGGCTGACACCGAGCAACCCTGCGGGGGACACAGACAGACAGTGGAGGGAGGTGAGGTGAGGTGAAGAGCGCCACAGCCACCCAGCTCCCACCGTGTGGGAAGAGGACGGCCACAGCCTGTCCCTCCCTGGTCCCACCGCGGCCGCCCCCAGCCCTGGCCCAGAAGGGCCTGTCTGTCTTACCAGCAGCTGCAATGACCCCGTAGGCACTTGGGTTTCCAGACTGGGCTCCAAGGGAGGAGGCTGTGGCATTCCCGAGAGAGGCCACACTTTCCAGGGTCACGGGGGTCCCCATGGTCGTGGTGTGCCCTTCCTGAAGGGTCTCCTTGCTTTCTGCAAAGACCCCCAGCACCTAGTAGTTAGAGGTGGGTGCTCATGGAATGCGGGGTGCCCTCAGGGGGAGCCCAGGGACTCATGCTGGTCCCAGACTGGGTGGAGGTGGTGGGAATGTGGCCTGGGGGTCGCAGGTGTCCCTGCCAAGCCACCAGCCCTCCCCGCCCACACAGGTCCGCCATGTCCCCGGGACACACACCGCAGTTGAGCTCGTCGCTGGCGTCTGGACAGTCCGGGTGACTGTCGCAGCGCCACGTGTGTGGGACACAGGTGTCCCCTGCCCTGCAGGGCAGCTGGCCTGGCGGGCAGGGCTGCCGTTGGCTGCAGTTATGCAAGTTCTTGTCGGTGCCACCAGGGCAATCGCTGACGCTGTCACAGAAGCAAGGGGGATCCGGGGGCAGTGGGCACTGCCCGTTCTGGGTACACGGCTGGATCCCTGGGGCATAGGATCAGGAAGGTCACAAAGGCTCTTCCACGAAAACCCAGTCAGTGCTCAGGGTGCCAGTTTCCCTGTAAGTCCCAACTTCTAACTGCTGACCTGGTGAGGACCCGGCCCCTGCCCCTACCAGGCCCTCATCCCAAGGGCTAGGGGATGTAAGGTGCAGCTCCTTCTCAGAGGAAGCAGCTAGAGCTCTGTCACTATGGCAGTGCACTCCACTCTTGGACTTACATCCAATACCATTCACATCACAATCTGGCTCTCTGCATGGCTGGTTTCTGTAGCTGCGCCCCCAACATTCCACTGGCTCCGCCTCCTCACAAGCCCCCCTTAGAACCCGCCTCTCTTTTGACCCACACTCTACTTCATCCCCGCAGGCAAGCCACGCCCCCCCGCCCCCCCGCCCGGGAAGCCCCACCCCCTGGCCTGGCCACTCACGGCACTCCTCCTCATCGCTGCCATCCGCGCAGTCCCGGTCGCCATCACACCGCCAGGTGAGGGGAACGCAGTAGCCACTGGTGCGGCACTGGAAGTTGGGCGGTGAGCAGGAGCCTGCTGGATGCGCACAAGTGAATGCGGGGAAGCCTGAGTCTGGGTCCTCCTCCAAGACCACCGTGGTCACAGGCTGTAACCACCAGCGGACACATCCGGGCTCAGAGTGCAGGAGCCATAATGGTGGCCGCCCTTTCTTGACCACTCGCTGTGGACAGGTGCTGCTTCCACTCCCTCTACAGAGGTGCTAAGAGGAGGGCACTAGTGGCACAGTCGGGGTTTGAACCCAAGTCCCACCAATCCTTCCCATGGCCACACATCCATCCGCAGACCTCCAGGCTCTGTGGTTAAACAGCCTGGGCCGGGGCCATCCCCCAACAAGCCCTGGGTCAGGCTAATGGCCAGGTCAGCAGGCCTGTTCTATCCCATCAGCTTGGGAAGGGGGGAGCTGAGGCCCCGGATAAAAACCTGCCGTCATCATGCACTGCTGCTCACCTCCGAAATCTTCCCAGAGCCAGCCACTCTCCCCGACTTGAATGTATCACCTCCACCCCAGACCCCTGGGGCCCTGATCGCCACTGGAAGAGGGAGCCCTCAGAGTCACATTACTCTATCCCTCCCCTCCCCTCGCTCCCAGACTCTCACAACTAAATTTTATTCCCCCTCCGAATTCTTTATCAAACTACCCTGGCTCTTCCCTCCACACTCTGCAGCCGAGGATCCTTCTACAGCCTCCAGAGCTCAGATGCCTTCCTGGGAGGTGGTCTGGTGTCCTTCCCAGGGACTCATGAACCCCAGCAGTCCTTAAACTGGTAGTGCCCATCCTGCCTAGACTGGACACTTGGTGAAGGTCAGGGCTGTGACCTCCTGGACCAGCCCAGGGCAGCACCTGACAATACCTGGACCGCACGTCATGCAAGGGCCCAAACTCGGTCCAGATGAGCTGTGAGCCTTCCTGGGCTCTGGTGGCAGATGTGAAGGGGAACAGAGGGACCCAGAACCTGGGCCATCAGGAGGGAGTATGAGGGACACAAGGTCTTCCTCCTGGTGCAGCAAGTGGGGGAGGAGGAGGCAAGTACCCCACACTGGCTTGGTCTCACTGACTCCATTCCCTCTGTCTGGTCCTACTATCCTGTCCAGTGTCACTTGCAAGGCCAACCCGCAAGTCACATAGTCCCTGAGCTCTGCAGAGCTCAGACAATCTGTAGCCAGCTTCCTTCCCTGCCCTTGGGGGGGTCTGACGATCCCCAAGCACTGCTTCCTCCCCAGCCCGGCCACCCACAGTCCTGGCGCCAGGCTCCCCTGCCTGGCCCGTGGAGTAACATGGGCAGCACAGCAGGGCAGATCCTGTCCCCTGGGACAAGTGGGAGTGGCAGGAGACTTCCCTTCCAGCCTGTTTCCTCCTGCTTAAGTGGGATCTGGCTAGGAACCCGGTATAACAATGGTCCTAAAATGGGTAACGTGTCTTCCCCTAGACTGGACGCTGGGTGACTGGCAGGGCAGTGACCTCGTGACCCACCCCAGGGAAGCACCTGATACCCTAATACATGGACGTCAGGTCACACGCTGCGGTTCCTACCTTGACCCAGGGGTTCCCACTTGGCATCCTGAGAAATGGTCCCCCTTGTGTGTAAAGAATCCCGCACTTGGTTAAGGAGGATCCATGATCGTTCACCTTGAAAAGCCAGGGGCTTTCGGGGTGAGTCTTTGGTAAGAGGGGAGCACATATTTGAGTGGGGGGGGGGGTGAACCCGCGCGTCCAGCCCACTCCAACCCTTCCCGCCGCTCGGGGGATCTCAGCGAGGGCGCCTCTGTCCCTCGGCCCTCAATGTCACTTGGCCCAGGGGTACAAACCCAGGAAGGTAGATTTTACTTGCGAAGCTGGGATCACCAGTGAAATATACCAGCAGTAGAAAGAGATCTTTCATTGTCTAAGGGGGGAAACCACGGAGAAATTGGGAGGGCTGCCCAGGACGCAGCCACCAGGCCTCAAACTCAGGGGTCAGGGATTCGGGAGGCTTAGCGGCTCGGGGAGGCGCCAAGTGACGCCTCGTGGTTAGAGGTCTTGGTCTGTGCCTGCTACGCGCCTTCCCGACTACGCTGGGCTGAAGGGCGGCGTGGAGGTGACAATGAGGGCAAGACAAAGCAGAGCAGGTGTGGACGAGCCCAGAGAGGCGCCCCGAACAGCTCAAGGCAGGTGGCGGCACCCACGAGCAGGATGGCCATTCACCCCGCGAGCTCCAGCGCCCGCCCCGGTGCGCTAAATCCACAGCCACGTGCTGGGGGCGGGTCCGCGATGGACGGGCGGCGCAGCCAATGGCGAGGCGCTGCGGGGGCTCGGGGGCGGGGCGTAGCGGCGGGCTAGATGGGCCAGCGTCCCCGGGGCTCTCACCTGGGGCCTGGGCGGAGGTCCGGGTCAGGCCTGAGGTCGGAGCAGCTTCCAAGCCAAGTCGGAGGCCGAGCAGCAGCCGCAGCGCCAGGCTCAGAACAGTAGTTCGCAGTGCTCCGCCCCGTGCCATTCAGCCGCTACTTGCACCGCCCAAACAGCAGCGCCGGCAGCACGCCGCCCGGGCCTCGCTCTTATTCCTCCCGCTTGCGCATGCGCAGGTCGGGGCGTGGTCAGCTCCTCTAACCGCATTTGCTGGAATGCGAGCGCACACATTAACAGGCTCTACCCGCTTTTCTCAGGGATCAAAAAGTAAAGCGCCTGCTTGAAGCAGGATGTTTCTGGGAATCTCAAGCTTTTCTCTGTCTACTTACATTCCCCCACACACACACAAGCCTCTGGCCACACGTTGTTGCCCAATTATTCCATTTAATACGGCAACCGCTCCCCTCGGGCACTCCCCATCCCCTCCCTCATCCTGAGGCTTCCGTGCCCCAAACAGAATTTATATTTGGGGTGGGGTTGGGGTGGTTAAAATATATTGTGAGGCCGGGCGTGGGGGCACACACCTGTAATCCTAGCAGTCAGGAGGCTGAGGCAGGAGGATCACCACAAGTTCAAGGCCGGACTGGGCAACATAGCAAGACTGTCTCAAAAATAAATAAAAACATTGTCTTAAGAACAGCTCTATGGCATCAGGATTTTATTGTTTCCTCCTATAGGGTTCTGTGTGTGTGTTTGTGTGTGTGTGTTGTGTTTTGGCTTGGGGGTTCTGTTTTAGAAACAGTCTCGCCATGTAGCCCCGGCTTGCCTTGAGCTCCCAGTGATCCTCCTGCCTTAGCCTCCAGGTGCTGGGATTACGGGCATCTGCACGCACCTGTTAGATGCACAGGACCAATTCCCCAGTGCTCTTCAGCCATGTGTTAGACATGTTCTCTCCCATTGGAAGTCCTTTCGGCAGCTTGATTCTTATCAAATGTTTAACCACTTCCCAGTTTTCCACTCACTGCAGAAATATTCTTGTGAATTGGAGGCATGAGTGCTTTTTCCTAAACCAACCATCTTTACTGGATCTTTTTTCCCCAATACAGACGTCTTTTTGTACTTTTTACTCTAGTAACAATATGCAGTGTATGAGGGGACTGTAGATCACCACCATATTTTTCATGATCTTCAGCTCAAGGCTGAAACACTATGTTTTTTGTTTGTTGAGTCAGGATCTCTCTATGTAGTCCAGGCTGGCCTCAAACTCAGGGGGATCCTCCTGCCTCAGCCTCCCACACACTCGGATTATAGGTGTGTGCTACCACACCCAGCTTTGGAATTCTTGATTTGCTAAATTTATGACAAATTCAATCTGTACAAATTCAATGAGATTCCACACCTTTTGCCAGTCTGTAGCCCACTGGAGCCTCTATGTGACTGAGCCCCAAAGCCCTGCCCTAAGTGTAGCGCCTGCTAAAGTTATCTCAGAATTTACATTTTATTCATTTATTTTGGTTTATTTCTGATTCTGTAGTAGAATCCCAGCTCCAGAATGGAAAGGTTGCCCACTGCTATCTCAGTGCCTCTTAAATATTTGGTGAGTGAATGACTAAAACGTCCAGCTCAGGGCGTGTGGCTCAGTGGCAAGGTGCTCGCTCAGCATTCCCAGGCCCTGGGTTCCAACCCCAGCACTAGAAAAAAAAAAATACATTTTTAGAAAAGCTGGGTAGGGGCCAGGGATTTAGCTCAGTGGTTCCACCGCCTGCCTCGAAAGCACAAGGACCCCAGTTCAATCCCTGGTACCAAAAAAAGAAAGAAGCTGGGCAAAGTGGTGCACACCTTTAATCCCAGCTCTCTGGGTGCTAAGGCAGGAGGGTCCCAAATTCGAGTTAGCCTGGGGAATTTAACAAGACTGTCTCAAAATCAAAACTAAATAAAGGGCTGGGGATGTAGCTCAGAGTGAAGGCTCCGGGTTCAATTCCCTGTACAGGAAAAAAAAAAAACCCTCTATCCCGGGTTCCCTGTCCTTCCCCCAGATGTGACCTCATGGCCTCCTTGAGTCCCTGCAGAGCCCAGGGAACCGGGTGTTTCTGGCTTCCTCCTCCTCCCCAGGAAGACACAGGAAGGCAGGCTTTGAGCTCTCTTCCCACGAGCACACAGGAGCTCAGCAAGTCTTTCTGCCCAATCTTGTTTTCTTGCAAATGTCATCTACAGTTCTGCCTTCAGAAGGCAGCCACTGCAACTCCTCCCAGCAGGGCCCCAGACAGCCACTGTCCCCCAGCACTAAGACTCCTGGGCAGCAGTGTGTGACTCCTACCCCCATGTTTCCGTGTGAGACCGAATTCAGCATCCAGAGTTTCCAGAAAGGGTTTTTTGCAAGCTAATGGCATGCTTCACTATGTAAAAATGACCAGGGATGTAGTTCAGTGGCACCAAACCTGCCTGGCAAGTGCAAGGTCCTAAGTTCATCCCTAGTACCAAAAATCAAACAAACAAACAACATGAGTGATGGCTTTCTTGGGAGTGCAGGTTATTTTTTCCATAATGGTCTCCCAGGGGCAAAGGGAACTAAGTGGCAGTAGTGCCCAGGTGCAGAAAGATGGGAAGGGCAGTGAACAGGGCGGCAAGCGTGCAGAGCATCCTGCCTCTGGGACCAGAGTCTCGGCCAGAGATGAGGGGTTGAGTCAGCTCCAAGATGAGGATTGCTCCAGCAGCCCTGCAGTAGGTCCAGCCCTGTTCCTGCCTCCCTCCAAGGAGCCCGGCGCCCTCTGTCCTGCCCCAGGCCGACTGCCTTCCCCTTCCTCGGCGGCGGCACAGTGGTTTCTGGCTCAGGGCACCTTTCCAGCTCTGCCTGGGGTGAGCCGCCTCTGTGAGCCATCCTCCACCTCCGGCAGCTACATCGGAGGCCTCCATGAGCAGCAGGCAGACAGCTCTCAAGGGAGCAGTCTGCTGTTCCCTTTGTACAGCCTTCTCCCATCAGCCTTTTCAGGTCACACTCCCAGGAGGGGCCCCTGGGACATGGGTGGTGACATCCCTGAGCCCCTGAACTGCCTCATCCGACTCCGCACCCGGGACAGTGTTACCCTGGAGCACAGGAGGACAGCACCTGCTTCACCCCAAAATCCAAGTAAGCTGGGGTCACTTAAAAACCAAAAATGGCTGAGCATGGCTGTGCATGTGCCAGTTATCTCAGCTACCCAGGAGGCTGAGGCAGGAGGATTGCTCGATTCCAGGAGTTCAAGACCAGCTCAAGACCAGTTCAAGATCAATGAGTACTGGCTTCTCATTTAGAAATAAATAAATAGGGCCGGGGATTTAGCTCAGTGGTTTCGCCGCCTGCTGCGCAAGCACAAGGACCGGAGTTCAATCCCCGGTACCAAAATAAATAAATAAATAAATAAATAAATAAATAAATAAAAAAAAAACGGAAGTGGTATGGAGTTCTGTGTATTTGTTATAAATTAGGTAGCATTCCCCCAGAGGGAATCCAAGGAGGAAAAGCAGTCAGGTGACCCGGAACATGGTGTCACAGGTACGGCTGGTCCTGAGACAGCTCCCACTTCTTCAGGGGAGGACCGGGAGTCACAGCCTTCTTCTCAGGGGCCGCCACGACTGAGCTGGGGGAGGGAGACACACTTCAGTTAGGACTCGGCCTCAAGAGGATGGCACAGAAGGGTCCAAAGTGCCCAGGCCACCCTAGAAAATATGCACCTGAGCTGGGCGTGGTGGTGCACACCTGTCATCCCAGCATGAGGGAGGCTGAGGTAGGAGGACCACTGTGAGTTCAAGGCCAGTCTGGGCCACACAGTGAGTTCAAGGCCAGCCTGGACTACATGGCAAGAACCTGTCTCAACAAAACAAAACAAATCTTCCAATTAAAAAGCACAATCTTTACAGCCAGCTCCTGCTACTTTGGAGCCAAGGAATTCAAGGTTGGCCTGGGCAACTTGGTGAGACCTTGTCTCTTTACTATCTTTTGTTTGTTTCTTGGTTTGAGACAAGATCTTCCTAGGTAGCCCAGGCTGGCCTTGAACTTATGATGATCCTCCTCCCTCAGCCTCCTGAGTGCTGAGATCACAGGTGCGCACCACCCTAAAGAGACTGTCTCTTCCTTCTTTCCTTTTTTCATTTTTTTTGTACCAGGGATCGAACTTGGGACCTTGTGCTTTTGAGGCAGGTGGTGGAACCACTGAGTGAAATTCCCAGCCCCCTTTCTTTCTTTTTTTGAGACAGGGTCTCACTACGTATTCCAGCCTCAAACTAGCAGTGATCTTCCTGTATCAGCCTCCCAAACGCTGGGATTATAGGTGTCCACTGTCTCTTTTTTTGGGTGCTGGAAGTCGAACTCAGGTTCTTAACGCTTGCCAGGTAGGCGCTGTGCCACTTAGCTATACCCCAACTCTGTCTCTCTCTCTTTTTTTTTGGTACCAGGGATGGAACTCGGGACCTTGCACTTGGGAGGCAGGCATGGGAACCACTGCACTAAATCCCCAGTCTCCGACTCTGTCTCTTTAAAAGCAAATAGGCTGCTCGGCAGAGAGCTGGCCAAGGAGAAGCCCCAAGGAGATGGGGAAGCCGCAAAGCACCTCCCCTGAGCCTCAGGGACCAGGGCTGGGGAGGCCTGGACACAGTAAGAGGAAAGGGGCAAGAGGACAGGACTATGGAGGAGGCCCAAGGGTTCGGGGCCAGGGCCTGCAACGCCCTGGGTGCTTCAAGGGCGTAAAAGCTAGGCGTGGTGGAGCATGGCTGCAATCCCAGCCCCATGGAAGCTGAGGCAGAGAATCGCAAGCTGGAGCTCAGCCTGGGCAGTGAAAGAGCCTGAGGCTCCAGCTCAGTGCAAGCCCTGGATTCAATCCCCAGGGCTCCGGGAAGGAGAAGGGGGAGAGGCAGCACAAGCCTCCCAGGGGCAGGCTGCAGGGTCAGTGGCTGCACCTTGATGCTGGGCTCTAGTGAATCAGAAGGTGACAAAGGCCATTCAGAGCCCCAACCACAGAGCAGGCCCTGCCCGCCGTATCGCCTCACAGATGCCCTCACTGGCGCGGCTGTGCCGGTCAGCCCCACTGGGTTTGTTGTCGTTTCTTGAGGCAGGATGGCCTTAACTCACTCTGTAGCCCAGGCTGCCTTTGAACTCACAGTGATCTTCCTGCTTCAGCTTCCCGAGTGCTGGGATCGCAGGAGTGCACCACCATGCCCAGCTCGCTGTCCCCATTTTAAAGATGAAGAAACTGAGCCGGGCATGATGGCACGTGTC